TCTTAGAACCATTAAATCTGTTAATAATAACCAAAATAACAAGTGTATGTATATAGTGTATGTATATATGTGAAAAACACTGGTGAAGGAGCTTGAAAATCACAATGCTAGAAAAACCAACAAAGGTAGATTGTTTTAATGCATGCACAGAAACAGGGAAAGGGACTTTCATGGGTCACATCTGCAATAGATTATTTCCCTCTAAAAGCTGAATTTTTAGGCTTGTAATTTTTAGGCTTGTGTGTAAATGCACTGCAGGAATCAGATGTTCTGAAGTTGTCAATGCTTACTCATGTAGGTTCCTGCTTAACCAAAATAAGTACCAGTATGTTATATTTGTCACCAAAATCTAAGCAGGGAAAGCAAATTCACAACACTGGGAGTTGCCAAATCTTTTAACTTTTAGCTTGAAGACCATAAGACTATTCCAACTTTCAACTCACTAAACAAGAGGCCACAGGAAATAAAAGGCAAACCGCAGGTTCCCAATTGACACTGGAGCTAGTTAAAAGATTACAGAATTGTCTATACTTTGAACACAAATTAAAGAGTAACGAAGACAACTTAGGGACAGAATAACTATCCATTAACAACAAAATCCCAAAGTTGAAGTCAAAAACAAATGGTTACACATTTTAATGTTTGGTTTTGTTTCAGGTTTTTCAAAGTATATTTTAAATACCCCACTGCACACTTTTTTCTTTTTGGTGATGGTGCTGAAGATCAAACCCAGGGCCCTTGAGCATGGTGGACAAGTACCAATAAGCTACATCCCCTAGCCCTTAATCTTTCCATGTAATTAAAATTCTGAAACTAAATACAAGTTACCCAAACAGCAAGGTGATGCATGCAGAGCTGACCTGACACAGACTGTTCTGATTTAAAAAAAAAAAAAAAAATTGTTGTTTTAATTCCATAAGCATCATGACCACTTACACTGAATTTTCACTACTACCCCCCTAAAAATCCATGTCTGGACTGGCACAAAAGGGGTGTTCAAACATTAAATTTGTTACAGAAACCCTAAAGCAATTCTGTAAAACTCATGCCATTTGTAAGTACAGTATACACTGCCCCTTTCATCACTGTTGAAGCTTTTGAGAGGGGAGCTTACATTTCTAACATACTTTTGAATCCCTCCCTATGAGTCAGTTAGGTACATTTGAAGTAGCATATCCTATTTTGTTACTGAGCTCTCTCTGAAAAATAGAGTCTTTGAAAACTCTTGGTATTCTAAGTTTCCAAATCTTACAACAGTAACAAATATGTGTATGCCAAGTCTCCATTATAAATAGATCTGCTTTTCTAGTCTTAATTTTCCTGAACATTTCTTATTCGCTAACAAGTCAGGTTTTCCTATTATTACCTCTTAAAAACACACTTTGGTCCAGCTCACAAGGTCTCCCCAGCCCCCACCTCTTTTGTATGTAAACACACTCTTGTCACACACTCCATCAGCTGTTTAGTAGCTCCACCCCTCCTCCTTTTCCGGGTAGTAACAGAGCAACCAATGAGCTGCAAGGAGCTCTGCCTGCGGCCTTTTGCCTGCATACGCTTTTCCAAAACAAGCAGCTCTAGCCTTCAGCAAGGGCCACTGGTTCACAGATAAAAGGATCACCAGGGCTGTGCAACCGGGTGAAACGAGTAACCCCCACCAACAAGGAAACCCATGTAATCTGAGCTCTTTGTTCCTCCACTGGGGAGAACTTAAACCGATATTCCTTTAGGGCAAATCATGCTTTAAGGTCACCGGAGTCCCAGTTCTCAGGCAATCTAAATCAGCGAGTTGAAGATGGAAAACCTCAGAGGTTGCCAGGTTGAGAACAGCAGAGGATCACCAATCCACCTGACTTTGCAGACAAATGGCCACACTATTCCACAGGATTTGGGCTAGCTGCAAGCTCTTGGATGTGGACACATTACTACAGCACTCAAAAGTCATGTAAATCAGTTTCTAGGCTCCTAGGGAGGTTTGCACAACCCTTAAGCAGAGGATCAGAAAGGAAACAATGAATGAGTCAGAGTTTCAGAGCATAATCGCCCAGCAGATTATTAAGTGCATCGGTGCAAAACACACTCACTCCCTGCATAACTTGGGAGTCAGCTCTCCTCCTACCAACCCGTCACAAAAGAAATATCACTGACTCCAAAAAACAATCAGAGATGGTATCTAGCAGGGTGGTGGAAAGCAGTGGCCAATTAGTTACACATCCTCTTCTTTCCCTACCCCCACACCGCTACTTTCCTACTATATAGGTTCCCTGCCAGGCTGTAAATCCTGATGGTATAATTATGCTCAGGAGACAAGACAAAAATGGGCTGAAACAGGAGATTGCAATGAAACCAGCTATCAGCCTCTACACCAAGGAAATCATCAAGGGGCAGTGAGGGCCAAGGAGTAATGTAAATTCCTTCAGACCTTTTATTTCCACTTCCTCTCCACCATCTTTCATTTCCAATCCTTAGCCCTTTCACTCAGTCATACTCATTTTAGTAATGGGTTGCAGAATTTTCCCTTCAATTTTTTACTAAATATATCTTACTAAAAAATTGTGGGCCCCATTTCGGCCTACTAATGTGAATTCAAGAGAGAAAGGAGGCCACAAAAATCACTCACCCCCACAACATACACATACACACACACATACACACACACACAAAAGGAAAGCAGAAAAATTTTAACTTCCAAACTAAATTACACCAGAAAATAAACACAAAATAAAGATAACCTCTGGCTTTTAAATACCCAGACTATTATCCTCCTATCTCAGAGATCTACAATTTTAAAGCGCYTCTGCTTTCTTTTGTCAGCAAGAAGGAAGGTGGGGAAAGAACAGAAGGCCAATGCATCTTTGCCTTTCTTCATCTTCTACTAAAAATAAGCTATGAAATAAGCCACTTAGGGGGAGGGAAAAAAAGACACCCTGCTGTTCTTTGTCTGTTTTCCTCTCCCTCTCCACCCCCCCACACCCCAGCTTCTAAATGCGGTAATCATTCTAGATGCCACAACTACTAAATGAACAAAAGGCACTGTATGGAAAAGGCATCAGGTCAAGTTAGGCCTCACTCTTTATCATCGATTTTTTTTTAATCTCTATATGTACATAATTTGAGGCTCTGACATAGATCAAAAACAGCTGGAATTCTCTCCCTCACTCTATCCCAATTATCCCTTAGGTAGAAATGTGCATTAGGTGTGACAGTAACTCTGAAGATAAAAATAACTCAAGACTCTGCCACCATGTCATTTCCTAGTTTCTAAACAAAAATAAAACCCCAAACTGCTTTGTGTAAAATGTACACACAGTAATAGAAGTTTTCCTGCAACCTTATGAAAAGCCAACATTACTAGTATCATTCACACATTTACAAAACAATCACAGCTACAAACAGCTCAAAGAGTTGCTTTCACTTGTGTCTAGAMATATTTGGTACATTATTATTTGCTGCTCCCTAATCCCTGCTACTACTCCCACCCCACCCCCGAAAAAATTCTAAACTTGAAACCCTAGATTTAGAAATTTATCAGGTATTCCTAATTTCTAGCCAATCTCTATCCCTAGCAAGGAGAAAACACCTTTTTATTCCTGAAAAGGTTATGAAAAAAAATCTCAAGAGCCCAGGCAACTTCACTCCCATCCCCCACTTTCATATCATATACAAAAACTACTTTTTTAAAACTTTACCAAATTCCATACTAAGCATTTGACAATCATCATTGATCTCTACAAAGAGGTAAAATAGTAGATCAAAAACAGTAACAAATAAAAGAAGTAATTCACCTGAAGAATCTAACCAAACAACTTGAGTTATATAAACAAAACCCTGCAACAGGGGGAAATGGAGGGGGGATGGGGGTGAAGCAGAAAGAGAAACAGGAGACAGGACTTTTTAACTGCCTTTCACAAGCTACCGCCCCCCATTCCCTCTTCCCCCTCTCCCTAGGGATTAGCTATTCAGAACAGTGGCTCACCCCACCCTCTAAATTCTCCCTCAAAAAAAAAGAATCCCTTGATTTGTCTCAGGAACCTTCGCGAATTTCTCTAGCTGGTCATGAAATAATCAGTCTGGCTTCCAACCAAAACCACTGCCTGAAAGACTCTTATCAGTTACAGCTTTCCCACTGCAACCTGGAGTTTATAAGTTGGGGGGAGGGGGACAGGAAATAAAGGGTGTCACTTGGCAAGACAGGGCAGGCAGTCTAAAAGAGCCTGACCCTCGCTGAGGGAGTTTTGCTCAAAAGGATAGTACAGGGACTATTTTGTCCAGGAGCTCATCTTTCTCTCTTTCCTCCCAGCTGTCAGATCCACAATATGGAGGGTGGCTAGCTGGAGGGCCTGGGGGTCCTCACCGCATACAACTATGGGTGGGAGAGGCTTTGTCAGTGGAAAGGAAAACAGGAAGGTTCTCCTAGAGATCAGAAAGCTTAACAGGACTCTCTGATTTAAAACACACAGAGCTCTTTATTAGAAGAGGGGCCCTGAGCAGACTACTCTCTTCCTAATATAGAAAGGAATTAGGGATAAAGGAGGTCGCTTTAGTTACCCCAGTTCAAGAAGCACTGAGCAGAAGGAATGGGGGCATCTCAAGAGAGAAAGGCTTCCCTCTAGGGAATTTCTACCTTGAGTACCTAAATCCAGGGTGAACAAACAGGAAAGAAAAACCCTGAAGATGCTTCGGTAGTGAAAAGAAAAAAGAAAAAAAAAGAAAAGAAAAAGCCGTTTAAGGAGTCCAAACGTTGTGGAGGAAAAGTCACGGGCTCTGGGGATGCAGAGAGAGAGAAGCAACACATATTTCGGGGTGCTGCAGATAAAGAGGAGCTGAAAAGGCCCTGGGCTCCTGGGAGGTGCCAAGGAGCCGCCGTAGGCACTGGGGGAGGGAGGGCGACTTGGACAGTGGCCTCGAGTGCCTCAAGGCCCTTTCTTGGGTTTCAGGGGTGCCCTTGGCATCCCCCACACCGCCCCCACACGCAGCCCGAATTCCCCCTCCAAGAAGGATACAGCTTGACCACGTCCGTGTCCATCCGCCTCTTGCCCGGACTGGGGGATGACATGGTGTCGCCGCCGCTGCCTCCCCGTCGCCTGAGCCGCCGCCGCCTCTCTCCCTTCCTCGGCCGGTCTGTCACGGGCCCCGGGCCCCGGCTCTGAGGAGCCCGCGGCCGCGCCGGCTCCTCGGCGGAGGTGGCAACCCCCTGCGGTTCTCTCGGGTCCCGTCAGCCGCCGCCGCCGCCGCCCCCCGCACGGGGAAACACCGGGCACTGTCCTGCCGAGTGGGGGTGGGGACCCCGCGGCGCCCGGCTCGGGCTGCCCTCTCCGGCTGTGGTTCCGCCGCGGCCAGGCCCCGGCTCTCCTCCGCGCGGCGCGGCGCGGCGCGACGCTCCCTTCTGCCTGCTCTAGCTCGCACGTCTGCCCGCCCGCTCACCCTCTCTCCGGCTCCTAGCAGCCTCCACGACAAGCGGACGACTCCTGCTCGGTCGGCCTCTCTACCCCAGCCTCKCTCTGGGCGCCGTGACGTCACCTCTGTGACGTCATCAGATGGGCGTGTTTGGTCGTGGAAGAGGTGGGGCGCCGCCGCGGCGTGTGCTTTCCCAGAGCATTCTGGGAGATGTAGTTCCTCTTTCTCTCGTCCTCTCAATACTCTGCCCCTCCCCCAACTTCCCCACACACTTCATCGCTTAACTGTCATTATCATCATCATAAACGATAGTAGTAAATAATGGAAATATTATTACATTTACCTGTTTTACGATCCTCCTTGTTACATGCTGTTAAAAAGGCTATTTGGATCTGGGGGAGGCCAAGGCGTCAATTATTCAGGTGCCAAAAGCTAGGAAAATCCCACACAGGCATGTTCCCTACACTCTGCTCATTCGTGGGGCGGAGAGAATTTATTTGCAGGAATTGTGGACTATGGCAAGGGTTCCTCAGAGATTGCAAACTAGGGTTCGTTACCCTCCACGTGTACAGATAGGGCCACTATTTCAAGGACTAGAGTCAAGGCTGCAAGGTGCAAAGGCTAGAAATAATTGAGTATGGGCTGGGGATGTGGCTCAAGCGGTAGCGCGCTCGCCTGGCATGCGTGCGACCCGGGTTCGATCCTCAGCTCCAACAAAGATGTTGTGTCCGCTGAGAACTAAAAAATAAATATTAAAAATTCTCTCTCTCCTCTCTCACTCTTTAAAAAAAAAAAAAAGAAAAGAAATAATTGAGTACTAACGTCTTCGTTCTGCAGAGTTTGAGGTAATTTCCCAAAATGAGTGATTGATGGAAATACCCCAAATATGCTGTAACTCAACACAAAGACTACTCTGCCCTGCAAACTCCTGTGCCAACCTAATAGACTCCTTCATTAATTCAATAACTATTTATTAAGCACCTTCTGTGTGCCATCACTTAGCTGAGCATGCTATGGTGGTGAACCAAGATTAGATTTACATGGTCCCCTCAGTATGGATCAGTATAGTGTAAGCATTATCTGGGAACTTGTTAGAAATGCAGAATGTTGGGGTTGGGGTTATGGCTCAGTGGTAGAGCATTCACCTAGCATGTGTGAGGCCCTGGGTTCGCTC